ACTTGCAGACTCGCGTATAAAACGGACCATTTCTAATTTTTGTTTTTACTCTAGTGTAAACGGGGCTTGAATTTTTACCATTTCAGTTCCAGTGTAAGACGAACCTCTGTCTTCATTTTTTTATTCTGGTGTTAACTGGACCTATGTGTACTTTTTGGCTCTAGTGTAAACCGGATCTATGTCTAACTTTTTTTATTCTAATATAAACCAGACTTATGTCTACCTTTTTGGCTTTAGTGTAAACCGGATTTATATCTACTTTTTTTATTCTAGTGTAAACCGGACCACCATTTACAACTTTTTCTACTCCAGTGTAAACCGGATCCTTATATCTAGTTTTATTATTCTAGTGTAAATCGGACTTATATCTACCTATGCATTAATTCATTGTTGTATTTTTGTTCTATAAGATTTATTCGACATTAAATACGCCAACAAGGATTTATAGAGTCGTTAAATTAACCATCTGCGCTTTATGGAACCATATATTATGAAAGAATCTAAGTTTCTAATCAGATTTGGAGGCACAGTGGAGTAATGGATAGCGGCTCGGATTGAGGAATCGGAGAGCCGCGTTCGAATTCCACTTACATGCTAATAACCTTGGGAAATCTTCTTCCCTCCCATCTGTGGGTAAATAACAGGACAGACAGTTTTGTAGCCTTGAAAGACAACTGGTCTACCGCAGAAAGAAAGAAATGGCAAATCACTATCGGGATAAAAATCTGCCACATCATGTATCATGCATGGCACATAACTGACTGAATCGGATTCTGATTAAGACCAAGAGTTACTGTTATGAAACAAATACCGTATTTGACGGTGTATAAGACGCACCCCAATTTCAGCAGGGCAAATCAAGAAAAAATTAGTAAAATTAGTAGTGAATGCCTAGTTTATATTTATGAGGTATTATTTTGGTTAAACAAGCCATGATTACAATTAAACGAAAAATAATAGGAAAAAAGTACAAGAGCCTATAAAAACTTATATCTAAAGGTAAGAAAACAAAATAAAAATCTAACAATTATTACAATTGAGCAAAAACAATACAGTTACCATTAAAATTCAGTCAAAAATTTTCCTTTATATGATCTGTAAAACCTGCGTTTTGTAAACGTCTCAGTGGAATAATTAGGATATAAAAATTCTGATTGTATTTATACCAATGCAACTGGAAGCTATCACAAGAAAAATATTAATGAAACAAATATATTTTACAAATATATAATTTGAATTTATTGCATATAATTTTAATGAAACAAAATACTAATATTAAACGTGATGAAATTAATATAATGAATATTAATCAATGATAACACTTTTAATCTGCATAATAGCCTTTTAAATAATGACAATAAGTATATGAAAGTTACTCTAAAGTCTAAGCTAATAGGAGTTGCCAGGTAGCTAATTTCGGCCGATTATCGCGGATTTTAAAACTACATATAGCATATAAGATGCAGGGGAATTTTAAAAGATATTTTTAATTAAAAAGTGCGTCTTATATGCCGTCAATTACGGTATATTTACACATTGCGGTAGACTCTTTATTTTATGCAATACAATTAAATATAAGTTGATGTTTACTCAAATGATGAAAGGTTATTAGAAACTTTCAGAAACCAGTTGTAAAAAAAAGTGTGATATTTATTCCTCTAATACGTGTTTTAAGCGTACAAAATGTTTTTAGGATGTCTTACATTCTCACTTGATTTTTGAAGCTTTAAGCTCTTAGCTGAAAACAAATACATTCTGTATTGTCTAAAACTACATCACTGGCAGATATCCCAGCTTATTCTAACACTAGTTCAAACATATGGGAAACCGTTGGAGATCGACGGTTGGTAAGTAACAATGGCCTGCGTGTCTAACTTGCTGATCATAGATCTACGGCCAGGAGTCCTATAAACTTTGGAAGGTGTTGTAGAGGAGTTTTCACAGTGGAGGCTTGTATTTCAATAAGTCGTCCTAAATTAGGTTCGACGTACAAAACGTTAGGAACTTGAAATAAGAGTTAATAACGCAGCAATCTAGTTGTGATGGTTGATACTTCAATGTCCGAAATCGACTGACACGCTCAACACCACTGAGCCCAACTGTCGACCTCTACTACTAATACTACTTATTATGGGTGGGAGAGTCTATTAATAATAGAATAGGTACGTCAGGTATAACAGAAGGTCTGGGTAATCTTTGAGAGTCTGCAGATTCAATATGTAATTTATGAGTGCTTATTTCTCGTCATACTATGAGCGAGCAATGTTTCATCAGATATTTTTAAATTTATCTTTTCCTGTCTACTTTTTTAATAAGCGTTCTTGAAGATATATGTGTCGTATTATATATAACGAACCCTCTTCGATAGCGATATCAGTACGCGTCAAGTTAACGATGACCCATTCAGTTTCGTGTTATTTTACACACTACCTCTCATCTGTTTTACAAAAGTGTAAACACACACACACACATATATATATATATATATATATATATATATATATATATATATATATATATATATTAAGGCATTAAAAATAGAAATGTAATATTGTAGGCCATGATAAGTTTAAAATAAACACACACCAGTCGACCGGTTTCGTCCCCTCTCGTCAGAACTGTTAACGGGGAATTTAGATTATGAGGAAAAGAAAAAAAAAAAGTCTGTCATTTTTTTTTTTTCCTTCCTTCCCTGTCCATTCATTCATGTCACCCATGACAGATTTTTTTTTTCTTTTCTTTTCCTCATAATCTAAATTCCCCGTTAACAGTTCTGACGAGAGGGGACGAAACCGGTCGACTGGTGTGTGTTTTATTTTAAACTTATCATGGCCTACAATATTACATTTCTAGTTTTTAATGCCTTAATACGCTTTTTGTACCGTTTCAAACCTATTTAAATATATATATATATATATATATATATATATATATATATATATATATATATGGCGTATTGAATAGAGAGATTGTTACCCCCTCTTATTTTTTTAATTATAATTTTTAAAGTTTAAAATGAATTTCTAAAAATGAAGAAAGCATTCTTGAAGATATATGTGGCGTATTATATATACGAACCCTCTTCGAGATTGGAATCACTACGCGTCAACAGGACCAAGTTAGCACGGCACCGGGTGGGTCATCATTATTTTTCACACTGTCCCTCAACTGTTACACACAAAAACGTATATATATATATATATATATATATATATATATATATATATATATATATATATGTGTGTGTGTGTGTGTGTGTGTGGCGTATTATATATAGAGAGATTATTATCATTATTATTATTATTATTATTATTATTGATCAAATAAAATACTAATTTTACAGAAATGCCTTTCATTTTCAAATCTTCTGTTAAATTCACTCTCCAAGGCAAACCAAACTATTCAGATATTTCGTCAATGGTCTGATGTTGATCTTCATTGACAGTATAGAAAACCTTTCAAGATTTTTTGTCATTCTATCTTGTTGAAGGTCGGTCAAACTGTATTTGATCCTCAAGTCATATTTCATCATATTCGAAATGCGAATAGGTCGGTATGTAGATAAATGTGTTCCTGGACGAGAAAAGGCTAATAACGACAACATCTTTTTCCTTCATTCTTAAAAAAAACAAAAAAGAATCTTTTTTTTTTTCTTTTCAAGCAACCATCATGAATAAGACACACCAGAATCGAGAAAGAAAAACAAGAAGAATTTGCAGATATAAAACGAATTGCAAAGGAGACCAATGGGAAAAAAGGAAACTGCAGCAGTCTTATGATGGACAGAGACCAAACAAGTCGATGGGTCATGATCCAGGCTAATATCAATCTCTAGTAGAGGGCTTGTAGTCTGTGCGGGAGGGGTCAGGGAATCGGAAGGCGTGACCGTGAAGTGGTTGTTGGAAGTCTGGTGTTCAATATGGGTGGACAGTAGAGAGTGTTGAAATTGGAATGGAACACACACATACAGAGAGAGAGAGAGAAAGAGCGGAAAAGAAAAATCTTTTTCTTTAGCTACCTGTTTTTAGGGAATAAGGGTTTGGCATATCGTGCCTGATTTGGGATGACAGGGCTGAGAGATCAAATGATGGTATCGAAATAAGGGGGGGATGATGGGAAAGGAAGAAAACTAATGGAGATAACAAGAGAAAAATAAAAAAAGAAAAAAGTAGAGGGAATAAAAAGAGTAAAATTAGGGGAAAAATATGTAGGAATTCAGAAATAAAAAAGAAAAACATAAATAGTCAACAGACAGGAAGGAAGGAAATATAAAACAAGCAAAAGGTTATGAGTAAGAATAAAGGTGGATATATAGAGAGAGGAAGGAAAAAATAAAGTAGGAAGTAGAGAGAAAAATGAATGAAAAATAAAGAGAGTTAGAGAGAAAATGAAGGAAAAATCAAGAAAGAATTAGAAGGACGTAAAGTGAAAAATGGCGAAAATAAAGAAGGAATTAAAGAGAAAATAGAGAAAAAATACAGAAAGTAGACAGACAAATGAAAGAATAAAGAAAGAAAGAAAATGAAAGAAAAATAAAATTACAGAGAAAATGAAGGAAGTTGACAGAAAAATGAAGGAAAAATAAATAAATAAAAAACAGATCAAATGGAAGTTAAAATCAAGGTGAAAACAATGAGGAAGAGGAAAGAAATACAATGGCTGTAAAGAGACTAAAGAGAAAAATAAGGAAAGAAAAAGTCAGAATATGGAAGAAAATACTGACTAAAATACATTAAAAAGGGGATAAAAATTAAAATCTGTAAACAGATCGAAAGTAAGACAAATGATGTAAGAAAAGACAGAAAAAGAAGAAAGTTAGAAAAAAAGACGGAATATGAAGAAAAAACGATAACAAGGAATGAAAAAAAATAAAGAATGAAAATGTTTTTGAAAAACAAATAAAATATAACTTGAATGAAATACGTCTTTGTAGATTAAAAGAAGGAATGAAAAGTATTTATGGGAGGTATTTCTGCTGCACCCTGAATAATTTCATAAACATGAAGTACCCCACTCACAAGGCCTTTTTTTTATTTCCTGTTAATTTTTATTCTTTTCTTTCTTTTTATCTCTATTTTTCTGCTCTTTCTTTTGTTTTTTCAACGTTTCTCATACCTCTTCTTTCTTTAGTATTCTCTCCTTTCTCTTCTCTTCTTTGTATCTATTCCATTATTTCTCTTCTCTTCTATTTTTTACTCTTTCTTCTTTTCCTTTTCCTCCATAATTTTCTCTTCTTTTGGCTTTCTTTTGTTTCCTCAAATATATTCTCTTTCTTTTCTTTCCTTTTCTCGTTTATATTTGTTTCTTCTTTCACTTCAGTTTTTTCCATTCTTCTTTTTTTCCGTACCTTTTCTTTCTTTTATTATTTCCTATTCTTTCTCTTTTCTTCTCTTCTCTTTAACTCACGCCTATTGTCTTTCCTTTTCTCGTTTCTATTTATCTCTTCTTTCACTTATATTATTTCCCCAAACTTTCTTTCCTTCTCTTCCCCGCTCTCCTCTTCCTTTTCCCCTATCATTTATCTACTTTCCCTCTCTTTCATTTCCTTACATCTATTTTCTTCTTCTTTCTCGTTTCTATTTTTTCTTCTTCTACCTCTATTCTTTTTCCATTATCCAATTTCTTCACTCTCTCCTCTTCTCTTCCTCCTATTATTTTCTCTCCCTTTCTCTATTCGTTTTCGTCTCTTCTCCACTCGGCTTTGCACGACAAAGTACATTCACACTAAGCATCGTGTATACGCACTATTTCGATTGCAAATCACATTGATACACAAAGATATAAATTGCTTCATAGTTCGTAAAATGCAGAAGTGGCTGGAGCAGGTTGGGTGCAATTTTACTCATATTTTTTGTTCTTGAGGTAAAGGCAATGATATAGGGTTCGCCTATGTCGGTAAAATAAACGAGGAGGAGGTATCAAACAAAAAAAAAACGTCATAAAAAACAAAAGCAAAGATCTATATCGAACTTGGAAGAATTACAAGAGAGATGGACAAGCGGCAAGAGGAAAATGTGACGAATACAAAAGAAGAAAAGCTTTAAAACAACAAAGCAACAAAAACAAGTGAATCACTGACAAATCTAAAAGAAAACCTAAAAAAAAAACAGGGAAAAGAAACGAGTGTGTAGCGGAGAGGATCATGGGATATGGTGAGAACGTAAAGAGTAAATAAGTCTGCAGCAAAGAGAACAACGAATGCAAGAGACAAAATGGGAATGTCTGTTGTCGACAAGAGAATCGTACGAAACACGATGAAGTGAGTTGAGAGAAAAGGTAGACGATAGGAGAAATTGTAGAAAAAAATGTTTAAATGGCGGGAAAATGAAAATAAGATTTAAAAACCTAAAGCAGAAGAAATAGCAAAAGGAAGAGAGTGAGAGGAGGAAGACATTGAAAATTGAAAAAGAAAAAGAAAGATATAAAAGAGTGGAATAAAAAATGAGAGAAAAAGAAGGCAGCAAAAAAAGAGAAAAAAAGAGAGAGGACAGAAATATAAATAAAAAGAGAAAAGAGAGATATAAAACCTGAGAGAAAGATGAGCGAATAAAGTAAGAGAAAAGAGAAAGAAAAAAGACGGAGAGAAAGAGAGAGAGCAAATATGAGATACAGAAAAAAATAACGACAGGAGAAGGAGAGTAAAAGAGGGGGGAGGTATCAAATAGAAAAAAAAAGACAAAAAAGAGAAAGAAGAATGAAAGAGAGAAATGAGAGGGAAAAGAGAGATAATAAAAAGAGAGGGGAAACACGAGAGAAAAAGAGAGAAAGAAAAAGAGGAAAGAGAGAGAGAAAAAGGCTGAAATATAAAAAAGAAAGAGAAAATAGAGAAAGAAAAAAGAGAGAGAAAATAAACAAAAAGAAAATAGAGAGATGAGAGAAAGAATCGTGGGAAAAGTGATATCTAAAAAAGTGAAAGAAAGATGGGAGAAAAAAATGAGAGAAAAAAGAGAACGATAAAGAGAAAGAGGGAGAGTGAAAAAGAGAGAGAGACAACATAGAAAAAGTAGCAGAAAAGGCAGAGTAAAAATGGAATATAAAAATAAGAGTTCCGTAATAAAAAGGACTTTTTCAAAAGGTTTCTTACAGAGTGAACAATAAATGTGGCTTTCGAATCGACAGGGGCAACGAGAAAGAAAAAAAATGGAGAAAATCAGCAGAAGAGTCGAAACCAATTTCAGATTAATTGTTCATTAAATAGAGATAGAAAGTGTGAGAACTCACATTATATATATATATATATATATATATATATATCAGCTATTTTTGTATGTGTGTGTTGACGACAGGGCCCATTTTTTCCCAAAGTCTGATATACCATGCCACATTAGCTCATATTTTTTTTTCCAGGGTTTGAATTCAGTGTTATACTACTGATAGACTGAATAGCCTTCCAAGAGTGAACCTAAACTACACAGTTATTTAACACACACACACACTTATATATATATATATATATATATATATATATATATATATATATATATATATATATGATTATTTATTTAAAAATATGATTCCAACTCGCAACATAAGAGGTCTCATGTTTCAAAACAAGAGCCGAAAACTTCAATATAATTATTTGAATTAAATTGAGTTAACTAAAATACTAAGGAACTTTGGATTATTTACCTAACCAGTTCTTTCCTATTTTTTATATATATTTTATATATATATATATATATATATATATATATATATATATATATATATATATATATATATAATGTTAAATAGCTGGGAGTGTCAATTCACTCAAAGAAACAGGATTTTTTTTCTCTTTATGATGGCCATGCTGAGCGAAACTAGTCGAGGAACTGAATTTAAATAATAAAAAATATTAATATACATATAAATGTTAAAAATTTAAATTTCAAACACATTCGGTTGTATATTCAAATTTTTACTTCATTATTTAAATTAAGTAAATAAGAAATAGTTTGTTGTATGCATGTTTTATAAAACGTTTCTATTTTTCAAAACACGGTGAAGATATTTGTCCATGTTCATATTATTAAGCTTTGTTTTTCTGTTTTTATTAATAAGGCTTCTATTATTTTTAGCCTTTTGTTTGCATGTAGATGATGTCAACAAATATATATATATATATATATATATATATATATATATATATAGACACCTCGAGGTGGTGTAATGGTTGGCAAGCTTGTCTCGCTAGAACTATTACGACTGAGTAGTGAGTTGAATCCTCACTGGGTGCCCCATACTTTCGGCCTTGTGCCATATCTAAGCTATGCTTGGAAAATCACTATAAGGGCACCTCAAGGCGGTGTAGTGGTTAGCAAGCTTGTCTCGCTAAAACAATTACGAGTAGTGAGATCGATCCTCACTGGGTGCCCCATACTTTCGGCCTTGTGCCACATCTAAGCTACGCTTGGAAAAAATATATATATATATATATATATATATATATATATATATATATATGGACCCTGAATGAAGCACCAAGAGATCACAGTCTTTTTCATACATGAAGGCAGGCCATATGCATGTTGCTATTTCGTTCTAGCATAAACAGACTGTCGCCCCTGGGTGTTGACTTCAGTGTCTATTTTTATATTTCCATACGCTCTCTCCGTGATATTGACTACTATAACCCTTCAGTATAGCATGCTTGAAATTTTTATCAAATATTTTTTTTGTGTGTTTATAGATACGGTTATGTCTTTGTTGCTGTTCAATCATATATAACGTAGGGCGCAGTACAATCAGGCCGGTAGGTGAAAAGAAATAAATATACTGTTTAATAAATAACTAGTGCGCCTACTCAAATACAAGTAACCCGCAAAAATAACGTTTAAATTGATAGAAAGGTGTCATATTAATAAAAATCCATTCTAAAAATTCTCTTTGTTTACATTTGGATAAAAAACTGTCTTTGAAAAAAAATTCGAAAGATCTACGATAAGAGAAATTACGGTTGAAAGCATAAAATTGGCTTCGCCTGGATATCTCTTCCTTCGTGGCCAAGCGGTGAAGCGATCAGGGTGACATGGTATCTCTCAGAGAATAGGTTTGGTTCCTGCTGAAAGGCGGAATTTTATCTTTAATAAGATTTCCCGAATATCCGGGCCGGTAGGTGAAAATAAATAAATACACTGCTTAATAAATAAACGGAGCATCCACTAAAATTAACGTTTGAAGTGATATATAATTATATATATAAATTAACGTTTGAAGTGATATATATATATATATAAATTAACGTTTGAAGTGACATATATATATATATATATAAATTAACGTTTGAAGTGATATATATATATATATATATATATATATATATATATATATATATATATATATAAATTAACGTTTGAAGTGATATATATATATATAAATTAACGTTTGAAGTTTATATATATATAAATTAACGTTTGAAGTGATATATATATATATAAATTAACGTTTGAAGTGATATATATATATATATATATATATATATATATATATATATATATATATATATATATATATATATATATATATATATATATATATATATATATATATATATATATAAATTAACGTTTGAAGTGATATATATATATATATAAATTAACGTTTGAAGTGATATATATATATATATATGTATATAAATTTACGTTTTAAGTGATATATATATATATATATATATATATATATATATATATATATATATATATATAAGCATTTCACCCCAAACAAGGCGGGATGCCACTAGCACGCAAGCGGTTACAGAGAGTTGCAGCGAGAGTAAAGAGGCGTGATAAAGGAAAAGGGTGAAGAGGGAAAAGACCAAGGCATCTGGAGATGTCGATTGACAATACATTTGAATATTTGGAGATTATAGCTATTAGGGAAACAAATAATTGGAAGGGAATTCCACGGAGAGGAGGTGCGAGTTATGAAGCTATTGGAGTAGAAGAGACGGTTACATTTAACTGTTTCGACAAATGAAAGGGTGAGACTGAAATGTCGAACTAGTGACCTAGTAGCTCGTCGGAGCAGTTACCGTGAAAATATTTGTAGAAAAGATAGAAGGCCCGGCGGCACGCCTGTTAGAGAGAGACTGTAGACGACATGCCCGATCGGGGCCAATCACATTGCATATATATATATATATATATATATATATATATATATATATATATATATATATATATAATTTATTTATCATATAGACGAAAAAGTTTACTCACTACAAAGATGCAACTTTTGTGTCGGTGCATTTTAATTGCACCTCGACGGTGAGATAACCATTTTTGGTTCTCACCCGTCGAGGTGCAAGTGAAATGCACCGAAACGAAGATACATCTTTGTAGTGAGTAAACTGTTTTGTCTATATGATAAAATTATAATAAATAACTATAGCTCTACTATCGGTATCGAGTCCTCTTTTGGATTAATGCAGTGATCGTTAGAATTTATATATGACTTTCGTTCTCATTGCATCGGATATATATATAAATATATATATATATATATATATATATATATATATATATATATATATATATATATATAATCAAAATCGTATAACTGTAGTTTTTCTATACTGTGTTCGCAATGTCGCAACAAATATTACATGCACAACAACAACAACAAAAAACACGGACGCAGATGGCTGGGTTAAAATGTCGAGTATTGTTGCTCTGACCACTGAACAATTATGACCAGCCTGTTCGCTGATAACAGAGTGAAGTGGGTAATGGG